GAAGTTTTGCCGTTATGAACCAAAAAATCATTGCAGGGCGAGGATACACATAGCAGGCAAGACGATTATCATGACACTTGGTGAACACTCTCGGAATAGTTAGACCGTTAGTGTGGAGGTACAAGAACTTGCTACCAAAATTAAAGGACGTGCTGAAGGAAGTATGGAAACAACTGTACACGTCATTAACGAGTGCGTATTTGGACTCTCTGAAGGAGCTTAATGTTCGCTTCATCATCTTCCTGTTGCTAAGAAAATTGTCATAAGAAGAAAGAATGACATGAACAGTGCCCCTTTGAGTTTAGAAACATTGTTTCTACCAGAATCGCATATAAGGTATGAACCGTGACCAGGTGCTTAGAACCAGAGAAACCTGCAGATCTTCAAGGACTTGAGAACATTTGCTGTTTTTTCCGCAGATCTCTACAATGCTGACAGAAGAATTTGGTGAAGGCCATCTTGCTATATATGCACTTCTGTCAAACAAGCAGGAGGTCATGTGCAGCTTATTGTTTCAAATGATGAAGGCACCGATACATAAAATGAGGAATTCACTCCAGATGTTCAGTTTATGATGTTTTTAGCATCTGAATTTCAATAGGAAGAAACATTTGGGCGCACTGCAGTTACTTTGTGCTTATAACGCCGATGCTGATTTTGCTTTGAAAGCGATGATAATAACTGCTTTTGCGCTTGTACCCATTGCTGACCTAGATTAAGCGATCGGCAGACTGGTGGAAGAACTTCCCAAAAGCTTCAGCCGCTTTTGGGTGATCTGAAGACAACTACGTCTGTCGGTTGAATCGCAGAGGAAGTACAAGACGTCCAGGGTTGCTTCCACCAGAAATGTGGTCGGTTTATTATAGGGCGATCTACAGTGGAGACCGTATGAATCACCTGGAAGAAAGTCCATCGACAGATTCGGAATGTCACACTCAGTATGGCAGTTAATCGACGTGCTCCGTAAAGTGCAGAAGAGCCGGGAAATATACTTTGAACAACTTGCCACCAGTCACTAGTCAAAAGTCAAGTTGAAGAAATATCGGAATATGGATGAAAGAATAAAGTCTACAGTTAATGACTGTCACAATAGGACATTATTACTTATTTCCACGAGTTAACGCATAATTACGAAATGACGCAGTAATGTGATATCTTTATATAGTAAACGTTATTTCTACAATGCCAAAATTAATTTTTGTTTTTTTTAGTTCATCATTGTTTAATTTCGATTCAGTTTTATTTAGCTCAAATTCATAGATTAAAATTCTATTAAAGAATCTGATAATGCTGTTTCTAGTTAACAGTTTGGTACAATACAGTGAGCGATGCATAATAGAAGTATCTGAAAATAGCATAGATAAATTTCCAGGTTAAAGCCGTGTGCAAATTCAGTGTTTTGGAAAAACTGACGCATTAGCCTCAGAGAGATGTAATCATGCAACATGATGAAATTAGCCACAAAGGAAATAGGGATAGACTTCTGCAATTTTCGTAAATTCAAACTCACCATTATCAATGTTACCGTTCAGTCACGCTGATTTAATGAGCTTGCGTTACAGTTATAGCGAAAACTTCAGACGAAGATGAAACTGATACTTATCACAAAAGTTTCATATGCTACTCAGAAACACCTTTCCAGCGATGTATAACAGGAGAGAAAAATGAAGTAAAAGATACAGATGATACTGTAATTATATTCACTCCGATTCGTGATCGAATAATGGCACACTAAATTAACGACCTCGCACAGCTACCATGACGGAATCATAAAATATAATGATAATCATCTGTATCCATAGTTTGACACCGGCATCACACCCTCATGCCTAGAGCTTTCCATTCCTAGGCAATATGACGGGCGAAATCAAATCACTGATTTTCATTATTTGACAACGATTCTTGACTCATACGGAAATTCCATTGATAGTAATGTGAAAGGCAAAGTCAAAT